CATGCGTAACTTGTTATTTGAAAAAGAAAATAATGTCTCTGAATATTATACTTCATCCTCAATGATGTAAAAATTTCATTTTACTTCCATTTATTGTGTCTACTTGTATGTGTGGTCTTGGTTTGTTGAAGCAATTCTCAAGTTTATCTGTTTCAATATTTCAGATTATTATATTACAGAAATTTCTGAAACTTGAACCGCAATTAGATGTAATTGTAGTTTTGACAGTTTGTAGACAGATACCACATAATGTTGTGTGTTCCTATTGGAAATGTGAGACAAAAATGCATCATTTGGAAGAATTGTAATGTTCGGCTCCATCCAGGTGGAGCGGAGAGCCATGGCCTGTCTATGACTGCTGGTGTCTGGCTTGGGATCATATTTAGCTTTCATACATAACACAAAATGGAAGGTTAGGAAGTGAAGGGATTTCTGCGGTAGCTAACAAGTTACTGTATATACCATAGTATTAACACTCTGCACAAAGGGTCTTCACACAAAAAGGCTCGAGTCCGTACAGGCTTTCTTTGTGTTGCCATGGAAATTTCCACTGCCAGCCAGGAGTGAGACGGGGCATGCAGGCGAGTCTAATGGCAGGTACATGGAATAAGGGAATAAGTGTTGAGATTTTTTTTTCTTTGACTGACTCAGAGACCAAATGAAATACAGCTGTTTTGCAGACACCACACTGGACTGCCCCCATCCTCCTCTCTGTCTCCTTTCTGTTTCTCTTTCTTACTCTACCTCTTGTGACCACAGCTGACTACAACTTCTTCTCAGTAACAACAAAGAGCAATTTGCAGAATTTGCTGTGATGCCTCTGACCAGTCTGTGATATGCACAGCTGCTGACAGTTGTTTCTCCAAAGGCTACTCAGTCAACAAAATCCTGTCTCCACTTCCTCCCACTATCCAGAAATTAAGCCAAAATATACTGGATACGAGTGCTGCTGACTTCCCATTTGGGGCCTGAGTCCACGCAGTAGCGATCTGGGGAGCTTGATCAATAGCAACTCAGTCTAAGCTGCCATCATGAAGGAAAAGGAAACATTTATTTGTGGTGCACAGTGACTTTTTATTTAGATCCATGTCCCCTCCACTAACATGGAGGAGGCAGGGTATAATACATATAGTGCAGCCATCCACCAGGCGGTGATCAAGATACTTTGGCTTCACTTTTTTAGGGGATCTGTCATGTTGTCCATCTCAATAAACAGTCTATGGGCAGAGCAGTGTTTCAGCTAAATGCTAATCTTGTCATGCTCAAGATTGGCAGCTAATTTGCTAATCTCTGTTAAGCATGTTGCTAACAATCAAGCATCAAAAGCTATTGGTCAAGCATATTGGCAGGACCTTGACACCGAGGCTCCGCTGCCCAATCACTACTGCGCCTGCACTGGATATAAATAACGTCAAAAGCTGCGAAGGCTGCACCTTAATCCTGGATATTATAGCTTTATTTCTTTTACACAACTCGAGGAAGTGGAGAACGAATCACTATATCAAAGCAGAAACATGCCAAAACAACAGGGAGTACATGGTTGTCACTGGACTGTAATATAGACACAGTATCCTTCAGCATACCTCTGCTCTTTTTAGGCTCTTATGACATTTATGTACCTCTCTGGGATTACATGGCAGGATTCCAGCCTGTTGATTGGGACGTCCTGGCCGCTCTTCAGATTCTGAACAGCCACAGTCCTCCCCATGTTCTGCACCCGGCAGTTTGGTTGAGCAATGTGTTTTCATTCAGCTCATGTTACATGTTTGTGCCAGCTTGTTTATGTACTGCAGTAGTCGATGTGTAGACAGCACGAGGTCACAATGGTCATATGCATATGATGTAAAATATATCATTTCATTTTTTATGTTCCTTGGTTTTTTTCGTTACCATTTTGAAAAGCTATCTGATTGTTTTTGTTGAAGTGTGTTTGGATTATCGTCAGGATAATGGGCAGTACCTCGTCAGTCTCAGACATGACAAAACAAATCATAGTGTCTCAGTGTATTTCTATCTATCTAGTCTGTGTAACAGAATACCTCGGAAGTGTTTCCTCTTCATCAGTCTGCCACATCGCTGACAGAAGTGGTGTTAAAGCAAAATCCCTTGGAGGGAGCAGAAACCCCTCCTCTGTCAAACAGAGGGGAAATGTTGTGTCCCTTGACTGAGCTTCTGGCTGCTCTGTCCAGGATGAATTTCCATGTCTGCTCAGTCGAAGTATCATCGCTTTAAGAACATGACAGTCTGGGTTTGTAACCTGTCCTTGCCAAGTTATGTAACACTGTGTGTGCTTAATAGGGACAGTGTTAACTGGATGACCATTTAAGTTTGTGCAGAGACTAAATATGCTTTTGGATTATAGTCCTGACATCCATACCATCCATACATCCATTATCTATACTGCTTATCCTGGAGCTAATGACATTGGGCAGCCTGAAACATTTTTCCATTGTGAGCAAACTACTTTCCCAAAGGTGACTGAGCGTTTTCCATATATGTTTTGGGCAGTTTCTAAAATTTACTTTACCTTTAACACTCATCATTTTACTAAGCTTTTGAGTGTTGATTACTCACATAACCACATGAATTATTGCATGCATTACACTTTAGGGTTTGACTCTAATTATCTATAAATAAACCAACGTACCTTGGATATTTTTTACCATTTTATGCCAAGTTCGACAGGGTGGGAGACAGCTGAGAGAGGCCCTGTTCAGAGCTGGTATTAAAATCTGTCCTGAGAGATCCAATCTCAAGTGGGCAGTGTTTAGTATGTGTGTCCTTGCTCTATATGCAAATAAGCAAGTACATAATTTCTTCACAAAGGCCAAACGATGTTGTTTTTACCAATTCTGAGTATATATGAGTATGATGTGACTGTGTTTGTGTGTTGGCATGAGCGAGTGAGAAGGAGAGGTAGAGAGAGAGGAGTCAGGAGGGGCTGAATAAATGTTGTGGAGAAAGGTATGATCGCTGAGAAGCGTAAAATTCTGTTTGATTCATAGTGAAACTGATGCAAGGTTGGTAGGTGGTCCTTCATACATGGCCCAGGATGCATTTGTGTTCACACTGTGAAAAGAATGTGGCCACATGCGTCCCAGCCCTCCTCCAAACATGGTCGGAATGGTCACATCTCAGGAAACATTGAAGTTGCATTTGGGTGCATTCAGACCATAGACTGTATATAAAGATTGAGACCTGCACCTAATACCACTTGTGTTCACTAAGGATGGATGATAACAGGTCCAAATGGGGTCAGAACATTTTCTGCAATATCTGTATTGCATTAGTATAGTTAATGACCCCAGTACCATAACTACCAATATTTGCCTGGTCTAAATTGTGCTTGACTATCGTAGCAGTTCTTTTCAGCCTTAGTAACCAATAATTGTACAGCAGGTGTGACTCAGCAACTTTGGATTTAATCAGCAAACATGTTGAATCAGAAAATTAGCTGAGTCATCATCACAGTGTTAAAAACCCAACTGATGAGAGAAATGGTTCTGAGGAGGCTGCTTTAACTTTTCCTGCCCTTTTTTTATGATATGCTCTGTCGCACAGTCTAATAAACAAAGGTATGTGGGAGCAACGTGCTGAGAGGAATTTGTTCTAGTATGTCAGTAGCAGGGGGTTCGTACACAACGTTGTGATTAGAACAGATCCTTAAAGAAAGGCTTTTGACTGTGAGAAAGTATTTGAAACTCAGTGACCCTGCAAGCATGAGGAGCACACATACGATACTGCCAGTTCAAACTCCAGTGAACACAGAAATACCACCGCTGCCCTGCTCTTGACCCAGAACCTGTAGACGCTCGGCTGATTGTTTACATGGTGCGATGTTGTCCTTAAAACAGCATGTGGTCAGGACCATGGGGGGGTGGGGGGGCTCTCAGGACACATAAGGACAACAGTGGCCTGGATATCCATGTCTGTGTCCACGGTCGGGCCTCTTTGAGGTGGTCAGTTGTGATGTTTGCACAGATGTGTGGGTCCAAAGCAGAGAGGCCAAACGTCCAGTACCCCTCTGGTGGTCCCGGCCCACCCCTGACTGGGAGGGATGGAGACCCCTTTGGCTACAGACTGAGTCTCATCGTGGGTGACATGACTCAAAGGGACAGAGTGAAGGCCCTGATGCTGTTTGAGGAGAAAGTCATATGAAGATGTCCGTACAGGACTGACGCTGAAGTAGTTTATTTTAATTCTACGTAATCTGTCGAAGCTGCTGGCTGGTTTATTGTCTGTGTGATTACCTGAATGCTTGTGTTTCTGGCTTCATTGGACCAATTTCCACTTCAAAATCCCAGCAATCACTTTGAAAGGAAAAATGATACCCATGTTTAACACTATAGGGGCCATTTATTTGATAACCGTCCTGTCTCGTGAAGTGTTACAGGTTACCCCACATTTTCTCTTTCTATGTAATGTGATTTAAAGTTTCTTCCATCTACATGAAGATCTTATTATCTAATGCGGACACCAGCTGCCCTCTTGTTCTGCTCTCCAGAAGCTGCTTGGTCAGTTGCAATGAACTCGACTAAACATCCTGCTTGCAGTCCAATGTTTAGTATTGAACCACATGCTCATTCTGTGACGTGAAAGATTTCAGTGCACTGTAGTTTTAGGTCGGATGGTAGTGAGGAATGACACAGAAGGTCACTGTTTTGTTTTGGTTCTTCTGTCTGGATAGCATGTGTGCAGTATTTTTCATCGTGAGTCTTCTTGCCTGTTCGTGAGTTCAAATGTTTTCAATAGATGCTTGGCTGGAGAAAAGACACAGAGTGTCCCATGTCAGTACTACAGAACTAAACTTAGGTATGAAATGAGAGAAACAGTCCCATGTGATTTCATTTTTGAATGAAAAACGTTGGCTCATTCATACGAAGTTGCTGCTGCAGTTGCACAATATTTGATGAACTATAAGAAATAAGCACATTGGAGTGAATCAGACTCACTGCACACAGAACAATCACATGTGACGCAGATTCTGTTGTATGTTATAGGAATTCAGGAGGGTACAGAGTGCACCAAGTGTAAAAATGACTGGGCTCTGAGGGCGGCTATTGCACTTCTCTACGTGCTCTGTGCACTGCTCACCATCGCTGTGGCTGTCCTAGGATACAAAGGTAAGTCAACACTGTCGCTAATAAAAAAAAGGCAGCTTCACGTTTTGTTTGATGGCACACTGACGAGGAAAAGAGGGAATGGTGCTCAACCCAAACACCTGTTCTTCCTCTGTGTGACTTTGGTGAGAAGTACATAACTGACTAAACTGCCAGGATCAGGTCCAGCTAGTTCAAGGGTAATGCTAACCTGTAAATGCAGATCAGTTAAAAAGACTAAAAACCAGCATTTATCTCAGACACCCAACATAATTAATCACCACATGTGGCTGCAGGGGGCGTTGTTGCTCAGTAAGAGCTACATAGTGTTGCTTTAAAAAGTCATTACACAACATTGATACTGTAATTTTCTCATGTCTCATGTTCTCTATTATCTCTATAGCACATTTAATATTGGTTTACATATTTTCATCCGACAAGAATGTAAGTAACTGTAGATTTACAAATACGTTCAATGCAGAACGACTATTAGTTAGATAAGTAGGATAAGACTGGTGTTATGTACAGTATGTTAAATATTTCCTACTGAGGATGTAAATCGTTAGAAGCACAATAGTATAGTTTCATTTGTAAAGAAGGTTCAGCTCTGCAATTTGTCAGCATATAGATGCAAAGTCTGTCTCAGTCTTTGTCTCTTACTCTAAATTGGACATATTGCTAACAACAGGAGGGGAAACCAAATTCAGCCGAGTCAGAGTTTAGCCTAAGATTTACCACTTGAAGAGGGTCCCTTTACAGTATCCACAGTTCACTGTCCACTGAATTGATATGTCTCTGAGGTTAGCCATAGCTTTTGATGGGAAACACATTTGTTGCGCAGCAGTGTCCTAACTCTGTTTCTCCCTGTTTGAACCAAGGCTGTGATGTTAAATAGAAACAGAAAGGAATTCAGGTTATTCCAGGGATCACCAATATGGAATGTTCTTTGTGTTCTGTCCAGTCTTACACATTTACGGAGTAAATTATTCACAGAAAACCTGTCAGAATATGTTTAAGTCTTACTTGCTCTGCAGGTGTACCAACCTGGTGAACCATGTACTCCAACCAACAAACAATAAACACAATCCGACCAGTAGGGAATGACTTGATTGAAGTTTGGATTAAAATCTGAATCTGACCTTGTGAGTATTGTCGGGATTGTTTAGGGTTTCTAGTTTTGGGTTTTCTGTGTTAGCGTGAGGCACATGTGATGGTTTGGCTCTAATGTCTGCCAGATGACCACGCAGCGACTCCTCTCGCTTAACAACCTAGAGGAAAGTTTATGGTTTGGTAGCAATTTGTTGTCTCATGAACCGCAGGTTAACTCACAAATGGCTGCATGTGTCCAACATAGTTTGAGGTTTGCAAGAAACCAGTGTTGGCTGGTTCCGTCTTGTATATTTGTCTTCTCCATCCTTTATAGCCTGCTGCACTGTTTTCATTTTATGTTTCTTAATCATGGCCCTACAAATTACCCTAAAAGTTTAAATCTTTGTTTGTGTTACAAACTGTGTCATTAAGTGTCTGCTCTTGCAGAGTGGATCAGCATAAATCTACCAGACATCGCGTTGGGTAATTGCTGGATTATGGCTCATAACTTGGGTCACAATAAGCAGCCAATAAGCCTTGTTCAAATTAGCAGCCTTATACAAGTCATAATGCTCCTCCAGTTCAGGCCTGTGGGGAGATGTAGAGATTAACAGGGGAATAAGAAAGTATTTCAGTCATCAAGACGAGGGAAGTGAAGAGTGTGGGAGGTATTCCTGGTATAAATTACATCATTACATCTGCCAGAGGTTATGTTGTTTTCGTCTACATTTGTTTGTTGGTTCGCAGGATTACGCAAAAACTGTAGAAGTGATTTTCATTTTCTTGATTAAAAAAAGAAATGCATATATTTAGGGGAATGATGTCGATGAGTTTGCAATTTCATATGGATTCTATTAAATATCTGGATCTAGTGGATTTAAATATAGTTTTATAGGGGTGTGGGCACATGTGGTAACAAATACACTATAAAAATGAGTTGGACTGACTCAAAACTTTAATCTAATAAAATTAAAGTTAATATATCTTGCTAGTTAAATTTAAACAAACATAATAAGTAATAGAAAACTGTAACCTGGTCAATGCTAAATGAATGTTAAGTAAGACATATACAGGTTAACTGTGCTCTTGAAGATTAAGAAGTGAAAGAGAAAGAGACAAGACTCATGCTCCAGCTTCTCCAGCTCACAGCAGTTATCCAACATCTCTTTGAAACCAGTGTTTTTGTTTGTCCCGACTTTGTTATTGCTCAGTGTTTTTGTCACTCCTGGAATGATAACAGCGAAAGATTAGGACGTCTTCCAACGCACTTTTTTTAGAAGCTCTCACACCGACAGAAAAACAAACTGCGGTGGAGAGGAGACAGATTCTTGTTGCAGATGAGAGGGGGGGTGGAAGAAAGAAAGTGGATCCGGAGTCGGAGCGTGTTAGTGTGGTATTCATCATGTGTTTAACATTATTTATCCTGAAGTGGAATTTGTGAATGTGCTCGGAAAATTGAGGTTTGTATCGATCAACAGATGCACAGTTGCCCGGCTACTGAAGTCGTAGGAAACTCTTCACCTTGTTCAACATCCTGTGTTCAGAGATCCCTTGAGAGGAATAAATACAACAGCGTCCCCTGCTGTTCAGAAAGTTTAAAGGGTTGGTGAGATGTCTCTGAAAGACGAATTCAGATTTTAGACAGAAGCAAAAGATGCAATGCTTTGTAAATGTACTGACTGAAAAACAGATACACACACACACATAAATATAGCATAGATACATACACATATACACAAAAATGGCAAGTGAAATTTAGTTAGACTTAAAAGGACAGTTGTGTTTGAGCAGTCTAAAAATTCAGACTTGGCAAAACGTTGGAGCGTGAGTTTTTCAGTTTGATACTGCGATGAACTGTCATCATAATATTGTCTGTTTAATTTAACCCATTGTCTTTTTCCCTGTAGGTGTATGTACCATGTTCATTTGTATTTACACTCTCTCTTTCCTCTTCCGTCAGTGGTCCAGAGAATGGACAATGTGACCGAGGGCATGCAGAATTATGGAGGCAAGATCAACGCTGTGGAGACAGATTTGAAGAAATTAGGTAAGAAAAACAACATTTTGAATCAGGGCCTGGGTAATAAATCCAAAATATACATCAAGAAATGTTCATATCACTATAAATGTCATTATTTTTCTTTTTTTTAAATTCTCTATTATCAATGTTTCGGGTGTCACCTCTTCAGATGATCAGACAGGAGAGAAGTCCGTTAATGCCACAAGTGAAATCAAGACTTTCAAGTCAGATCTGGAGTTCTTACAGAACAAACTGAATGACATTGCACTCAGGGCAACCAGAAACAGAGACGTCCTGGATGAGCTTCGGATCACAGGCGATGACGTGCAAAATGGCCACGGGTCCCTGCAGAGCTTTCTGGAAGGAAATGCGGCCTCACTGCGTGGCCTCAACCAGACCCTGATCTCTTACAGTGGTGTGATTGACAACCTCCAAACGGACACAGTACGGCTCCAGTCAGAGATACAGGGCCAGGTCAAAGAGCAGAGCCAGACCCAGGTTACTGTCAATGCACTAAACATCACACAGTCCCAGCAACGCAGTCTGCTCGGCACACTGCAGAAGACGGTGGAAGAGGCAGGACAGGCGGTGCAGAAACTGAAAAATGATTATCAGGGTCTGCAGCAGACGGCCAGACAGAATAGGGCTGACACAGAGTGGCTGAAGGAAAAGGTGCAAAATCTCCAGGTTTTGGCAGCGAACAACTCAGCCCTGGCCCGGTCCAATGAGGAATCTCTTAATGACTTGGATGCTCAGCTCAGCACTCTGGCCAGTCAGATCCAGAACACCTCGGCCCTCACCGAGGGACAGGACCAGAGGATGCGTGAGCTGATGGACCACCAGAGAGACCACGATAACACCACCTCATCCATGTTTGATAAGATAGAAGCACGATTAGACACACATGAGAACGACATGGACCGCGTGACTGGAAACATGAGCTTTGCCACGCAGGTCCTCGGTGCCATCAGCGTCGACCTGACCGGCCTGAGGTCCTGTGCTGAGACAGTGATTCGACATTCAGACCTGTTACTGGCACTGAATGGTAGCGTGACCGAGGCCCAAGCAGAGGGCAAAGAGCTGCGCAGCCAGCAGGATGAGCTGACAGCCAGGCTGGACAGAGAGGTCAACAACCTGTCGATGGTGATGGAGGAGATGAAGCTTGTGGACAGCAAGCACTCTCAGCTCATCACCAACTTCACCATCCTGCAGGGTAAGAAAACAAGATGGGTATGTGTGCGTCCTGGAAATGGTCAAACACTTTTTAGATCATAATACAAATGGATATGGATGAAAGTTGTGATGTGGATTGGATTGTTGTACCCCTGTATAGGGATACCCAGTAAATCCATTATTTTACGATTCTTCCTCTTTCTATTTCCTCTAAAAATATATAAAGATAAGATTGTCTAATCTTATCTGAAAAGCTGTTGCAAAATCTTACTTTGCATCCAACGCATAAACCATATCTATTAATTTTGAAAGACCTTACACCATAACTATGATGATACCATTTTACGTATATTTTACTAAAAATACCTAAGTACAAGAAGTAAATTGTGTTTTCTTTCTTTCTTGTTGCACAGATTGTACATTCTCAGACATGTGGACCACTTATTTGTTCTCATAACGTTTCAGGTCCACCGGGTCCAAGGGGCTCCAAGGGAGACAAGGGTCCACAGGGGCCACTGGGCCAGACAGGGCAAAAGGGTGATAAAGGAGACAAAGGGATGCTAGGACAGGTGGGACCCAAAGGAGAGAAAGGTGCTGCTGGACCACCAGGTTCGATAGGTCCTAAGGGTGCAAATGGTGGTCGGGGTCTTCCGGGGTCCAAAGGATCGAGAGGCCCTGGAGGTCGATCTGGAAACCCTGGTGATAAAGGTGACCCAGGGACTGCAGGGCTTCCTGGCAGGGATGGACAGCCAGGGATGCCAGGACCACAAGGGCCACAGGGCCCCAGAGGTGCATTTGGACCGGCAGGATTGGATGGGCCTAGGGGTTCTGTTGGACCTATTGGCCCTCCCGGCCCTCCAGGGCTACCAGGGTTACCTGCAGCTGCACCTCCCATAATATTAAAGCCAACTCAGTCCGCTCAGGTCCCTGGATCTCCCAAAGCACCTGAACCTTCCAAACCAGCCGAGGAACCACAAGGCTCTGTGTCCCGGCAGGTCCAGCCCTCTGTGGCCACCACTCCGACGCCTGGTGGGTTCTATTATTACATAAGGATAGAATACAGATATGTGGCTCATTATGAGTATATCTTTACACTTATTCTCACATCAGAGACTTTACAGTTTGACATTCTGGTAACTACTTGTTTGCAGGTTGTCCATCTGGGTTCAGAAAGTTTGGAGACAGCTGCTATTACTTCTCCTCTGATCCCCAGAGAGTCAAATTTGATGAGGCCAACCAGTTATGCACTAACATGTCATCTTATATGCTCATTATCAATGACAATGAAGAGCAGGTACATGAACCCCGTCTTTATTTTGATTTTAAAGAATAAAACAATTCAAACTAAAATAACTAAAGCTAAACAAAGACATGTACATGTTTCAGAGCTAATTATCCTGAAAGATCTGTTGCTCTTCTTTTCATAGCAATTTGTGAGAGATGCAATAACAGGAAAAGGTTATTTCTGGCTGGGCCTGACTGACAGACATGAGGAAAATGTCTGGAAGTGGGTGGACGGGACCCTACCTGTTTTCAAGTGAGTTGGTTTTACAGCAAATGGATCCAATTTGTTTTACTGATTTCTGCCATGATTCATTGATTAATTATGTTACAAAATATCAATGCTTGGAATCTGATAATTACTGCTGATGTTTTTTACCATCAGCAAGTGGAAGCCTGGCCAACCTGATAACTGGACCAACGGTCATAAAGACGGCGAGGACTGTGCTGGTCTTATCCGTAATGCCTACTGGAATGATTTCTACTGCACTGAGCGCATCGGTTTCATCTGTGAACGGGCCTCTGACTGTCAGTACCTTCTCAGACCTTTCTGATTTTGAAATGTGTTTTTAATATTTACAGACATTCAGTGTGCAGTACCTAGCCCCATGTTCATCATTTCCATTTAAGTAAGATAAGAAGTGCAGATTTGATGACTCTGACATAACGTTTATCTTACACGTGTTCCCACGGCACAGAGTTTTTTATCCAAACATGAGATCCCAGACACCTGAAAGTGTCTTTTTCAAACAAGATGTTGTGAAATTTGAATTGATGCTGTGACATTTAAAAGAAACACGTTAATGTTAAAAAATTCAAATCTAATATTTTATACATACTGTATCCAAACCAGATCAAATACTCTGTTTGTTTCTTAATATCCAACATTTTTGCTGTGTTTAATGATCATATTGGAAATGTATATCGTATTAACAGTAGTTACTGCTGCTATAACTGTAAATATGTCAGCCTGTGAGCATTATAACAGTGTTTAAATCTATCTAATGTGATTTATTTATTTTCGCAGTGTCTCTTGGAGGAAGGTGAACAGGCTGAAGTTGAAGTTGCAGTGACAATGAAGGAGATGAGGAGGAGCTCTCTGTGAAAAGAGGCCCCTGATGAAGCCAGCCCACATGAGCATCACTGAGACTTGGGTTGATCTTTGTGTTAAAGGCACTTTACAACACAGCGTTACAACAAAGCACAGAGCCAGCCCACTACGGCCTTTTTGTAGTATTTGTACTGAAGGAAACATAAGAATGTAGTAATCAACACTACACAAAAATATAAACGCAACCCGCAGGATTTTTTAAATGTTAGAAATCACAGAACATTCACTATTCAGTGGAAAAAACAACAACTGGAGGTTATATTCTGGAGCACGTGTGCAGGCATTTGAACAACTTGGGGAACAGTTGTCCAGTTTCTCGACTCAATATCTCAAATGGATCTTGTGCTGTCATGGTGACACGTGGTGGAGGGACACACAGTGCTGCTAAACTCTTGGAAACGTCTTCTGAGACAGCTGATGGTTGAATGATGGACATTCAGTTCTGCAGGCTCGGCCCCGGTTGGCTCTCCTTCAATCAATATGCCATCTGCACGCTTGTGTTCTTGGAAAAAGTAGTAGAAATGTCATTGCAGCTCATGAACAATGGGAACGAAAAGAAAAGTGTTGCGTTTATATTTTTGTTCATTTTATTCAGGCTATACTATGTCATTGTTTGGTGTACCCACTTTTGTACAGGTGTATCTGTAAATAATAATTCACAAACCATACCATTTTATTTCTTAACTGCCTTGTCAATCTTTCCATTAACAGAAAATCTATGTCAGAGGATTATGTTGTTAATAGAGTTACAACTATTTTTATACCATCACATATATAACGCAGATCCAGAAGATTATGAGCACCCGCTCACCATCAGCAAAAGACTGCAAACTCAGATAACAAATAATGTAAATTTCACCTTTCTGCAAACTGAAATATTCATGTCATTTTTTTTATAATAGATGCTCAGTGTGAGCAGTGCTGCTGTTTTATAAAGGATCCTATTTCTTAGATTTTAGACTGCCAGTTTTATACAGTATGAGGCATACATTAACAATATGTTGTTGTTTTGTAATGTAGCCATATACGATGATTTACTCATTATGTCTAATACAATATGTGGAATATGTTACATGATTATTATTTGCATAATCAGTTGTTATGAACAATAGCAGTTGGCTCATTGTGCCTTAATTAAATGACCAGGTTTCTCTGGATAAGGCCAGGACACTTATCACAATAAAATTTGAAAGAAACTGTGTGTGGAGTCGATGCTTTTATTCCTGTTATATTTTGCAATAAATACACTGGATACAGATGATGTTGTTTTTTTAAACACCATTCATGTATCAATAGTGTCACAGCACAGACAGAATAAACCCAGACAGACATGTGTTATACAAAAAAGCTTTCTATTAGTTTGTCCATCCCATTTTAATTATTGTGTTTTTTTTACATTATCAGATAACAAAGACAAAACAATAACAATGATAAATGTATCACACATCTGGATTTGTTTTAGCATATTTCCATGTTTATCTGGAATATTCTAGTCCAGATGTAATAAATCTTGATTAAGACCTTATCCACTGTGGTCCACATGCAGGGAAGACTGCCAGGGGCAGGCATGAGGTAAAGATGAGAGGAGGTCGTTTTTTATCCTTTCAGGAGTATAGACAGAATAAAGTTGAAATGTTGAGAAGAGAGTCAAACTAAATTTGAGGATGATTTAAAAAAAAAAATTGGATAAGAAACTAGAAATACTATTTTGGGACTAAAGTCAAGATGTCGAGAATGAAATAATTA